ATTGTAGTAATTTAATAATTGAATTCATGAGTTAAATGAAGCTAGACCACTACTATAGAAAACCTGGAAATACTGGAGTGCCGTTTCTTTCTCATATAGGACTTCTCATCAGTGCGCATCCAAGACCCCTCCCCACGGGATTCAAATGTTCTAGATATTACGATTAATTAGGACGTAAAAACAATTTACACTAGTTGAACGATATTTAGATTTGAAAAAATTTTTCCATCACAAATGAAATCATCAATCCTTTCATCATTGTATCTGAATATGGTTCGTTTGAAAATTTGTTATGTAATGGAGATATGTAACTCAGTTGAATAAGTTTAGATAAGTTTCATTTGTTGTACTGGATGATTTATTCCTGAAGTTGAACAGCATTATCAGTACAGAGTTGGTAGTCAGATCAGTCAACAATCTATCAAGATATTGAAATAAACTCAACTTATTAATCAATTAGAAAAATCATTAATAAGAGACAAGAAAACCCAATTAAGATCGAGGTTGATAAAAAAGACTGTCGTCAGTTAACACGTAAAGAAATTTGAATAGTTCAATTCTAACTCAAACGTACGTAGATGATGTTGTCGAGAAGGCCGATGAAAATTTAACGATTACATTAGTCAAATTAAAGAATGAAACTCATTATATAAACAGTTGTGACTATATACATCACTAAACACAATTATAGACTACGCAGAGATGGTTAGTGGCTAGCAGTGGAATCCAAGACACTCGCTTCATCCTGTTTGAGACTCGTCAGCCAGATGTATTAACACCTCAGAGTTGACATTCACTGTGGGAATACCGAGGCAATATACACAGTATGCATATATCTCATTAAGACACTGATCAACTGCATTCCTAAACATCAGTGAGAAGATTCAAACAACCAGTACAAGATGAACAATCTGAATCATTTGTTTACACGTAGCCTATTGATATTATCTAGGTGTTCAAAATGTAGTTGGTTGAGATGGGTTTGAATTCATAATCTAATGATTGAAATTAAAAAGCTTTAACTACTACTCAGCATACACTATTTGTAATGCTTCACGTCTTCTCGAAAAAAACAACACTCTTGTCTTTAAAATTCCAAGAATTTCACATCCATACTTTTTAGATAATTATCTCATAATTATATTTTTATGAACTATTCAACCAACTTACTTACTTATGTATGTCTGTTACTCCTCGTGGAGGAATGTAGGCCGCCCACCAGCATTTGCCATCCAAACCTGTCCCAAGCAATCCTTTCCAGCTCTTTCCAGTTGTTGTTCATCCTTATCATATCTGATTCCATTTCCCGATGTAATGTGTTCTGTGACCTTCCTCTTTTCTACTTCCCTTCAAGATTCCATATTAGGGTTTGTCTCGTGATACAGGTTGGTGATTTCCATAATGTATGTCCTGTACATTTCCATCGAATTTTCCTAATTTCCTCTTCAGCTGGAAGCTAGTTTGTTCTCTCCCACAGAAAGCTGTTGCTGATTGTATCCGGCTAATGGGTGCTGAGTATCTTGTGTAGACAATTATTTATAAATACTTGTACCTTCTTGATGATGGTTGTAGTAGTTCTCGAAGTTTCATCTCCGTACAGTAGAACTACCTTGATGTTGGTATTGAAGATTGTGACTTTGATATTGATTGAGAGTTGTTTTGAGTCCCATATATTCTTCAATTGTAGGAATACATCGCTTGATTTGCCAATCAAATTCATAAATAGAAGTAATCCAAGTTTATAGAAACCAGTTAAAAGATGTCAATGACAAACATTCTAACTTAAGATTAAAAAGGAAACAATCATGGACTATGAAAACATATTTAAGCTGATTAAAAAGATAGAAAACCTGTACATTTTACTTTTAACTCCATTCAAGTTTTATCATATCTATTATATAATCATAGTTAAACTAATTCTTATCAGAAATTATTACTAATATTGATCAAATATTGTTGCCCATTAACAGTAATGAATTGGTTGGATTAGTTGAAGTTACACATTAAAACCGGTAGATGACGGCCAGTTTAATGGTGTAGTGATTAAGCACTTACGTGCGAGATTTATAGATTGTCGGTTCAAATCTTGTGAAGCGGGATTGTGAATACGTACTGCTACGAAGGAGTTCCACAATAGGACGAAACAGCCATCTAGTGTTTTCAGGTTTTCCATAATGGTGGTCTACCTTCAATTGATTCATGATCTCAACTATTAAAATTATTATCATATCCACAAATATCCCCTGCTGATCGTAATGGATAACTTTTTAAAAAAAAATAAAACTAATCAATAATGTACTTTTATTTACTATCTATTGATTTATCGATTATTTTTTTTGACATAGTTACTAAAAGATAAACAAGTTTTGGCAAGACCAAATTGTGTTGTGTTTTTTTTTCTCTCAACATAATGATTTCGTGTTAGTAACTAATATTTGAAGAATGAATATGGATGTTCTATATGACGGTTTATTATTATTATGATTATCGATCAGCTGATATTGATTACTTCCATTAATTATGTATGATTTAAGGTTAATAGTGTTATATATAAGTTTGTCTAATATAGATATAGAATTAAAGATTTAATTCTTCTCTTATTTAAAGATGATCTTTAACTAATGCGGATGTATGTTGTCATGGATTTGTGCCCACTATTCATAATATAATGTAATGATACTGTTAATTAGAGAATAGTGATTTATCAAACGGAACAATGATGCATAAAATCACGTACAAGTAGTTTAGAGTCCTGATTGGTCTTGCTTCCTGCTTAACCCTGAATGTTACAGTTCAGAATACCAACCTCAACTTCTAAGATATGAATCACTTCAAATATACTGGGTTTATATACAGACCACATCATACCATGAAATAGAAAATATACATTTGTACAAGATGTAGCCAAAAGTGGCTGTGGATGTGAGACACTGTAATTAATCGACTGAACATAACTCAAGAACGGTAAATCGTATAATAATAGTCTATGGGTTAAAATAAAGCTTATGATAAGAGGAATATGAATATCCATACTTAACACTTATACAATAAATATATATGTACAGTATCAGTCCAGACATAGACTCCAACAGTTACCATTCATTATTCTCATTGAAATATAACGTATGTGACAATATGGAGTTATTTCTGTAGGGATGTATTATATTCATTATGAAGAACTTGGATAATCTGATATAATATTGTTTCTTCTACTTATTTGCTGATTAGTTAAACTGACGATCAGAGTTATTCAGTTAGTTGTTTCGCATTAATTTTAAACTACACTTAATGGGACATGCATACCTCAAAGTTCCACCGATCAGATGATTGACTGGTTGATTGTCACACAGATGACTAACGGGTCGAACAATTCGAGAGATGGAATGCAGGCTTCCAGTGGGTGGGTGGGTGAGTGTGTGTGTGTGTGTGAGTGAATGAGTGAGTGAGTGAGTGAGTGAGGCGGTCAATTGCACACGCGACAGTTTGTGCGTGCATATACGATTGGAGTGAGTGACAATGCAAGCGGTATTGTTGATGTGAGTGAGTGTTGGTGTTGTGTGTGTGTGTGTGTGTGTAAGTGGTGATAGACAGTTGTCAAAGGCCTGCCCCAGGTGAGACTCGAACTCACGACCTTCAGATTATGAGACTGACGCGCTAACCTACTGCGCTACTAGGGCGTAGATGGCCGCCACCGCCCCAGCCTCACCATATCCATCCACACACACCCAAACATCACTAACACAACACAACACAACCAACATTTACACAACTAACTTACACTCAACTAATATGCTCACCTCCACAACAACAAACAAACACAACTACGACCACTACTAACTACACCATCACTACAAATACTAACAGCAATACCACTGCTTCATAATCATACTACTCACTCACTATACAACCTCCATATCTACCACTAACACTAAACCACAACCAACACGACTTCGACTACTCCACCAACACCATGTGATTTCACGTCCACGCACAAACATTTACAATTGATCTGTCAATATACTTCCACCCAACATTCAATGCTCATTTTCAGTGTCATGGGAAATCTCAATGTGATTAAGTCAATAGGAAAAGTTGTTTCTCATGTTCATTCATGTATTTAATGTGAATAAATAATGTTGGTAATATAACATAGTATGTATATTAGTGAAATTTCTAAAAAAATCTCCACAAAACCCATTCTGATAATAATAATCAACTGCTCACTAGTGACTGACTTCAGGAAAAATTCCCGAAGTTCTAGTGAGAAGCCGTTACCAGCGGAGTTCAACTAGGTCTGTTGTGAGATAGGAACTCACTGAAGACAATGGCGTACGGTGGTGAAACTTCGTGAATTGGTTGAAGTTATACATTAACACCATTGGATGCCGGCTCAGTGGTCTAGTTGATTAAGCGCCTGACGCGAGACTGATAGGTCCTGGGTTCGAATCTCACGAGGGGCGGGATCGTGGATACGCACTGCTATGGGTGAGTCCCATACTAGGACGAAACGTCCGTCCAGTGCTTCCAGGTTTTCCATGGTGTTCTAGCTTCTATTGACTCATGATTTCAACCAGTGAAATAACAATAATGATAGAAACATATATACACATAGACACATAAGTTTTATACATTCATATGAACTATTACAGATTATACAAACAAGAATTTAATCAATATACAATGGAGAAGTATGCATATACCATACTACCTATTACATAATCACACATAGTACAGAATAAACAAACAAAAAAAAACTGCATAAATCTGTATATATATGTGTATTTGTTTCTTTAAAATCATACTTATATACAGTGAAATATGGACAATAGATCAGAATATAACTAGAATTATTATATTATTTACACTCATGGATTAGAGCTAATAGTCATTCATAAAATAACTAAGTACCATCACATACAACATTGGTGTGTGTGTGTTTGTTTATGTTCCATTGCTTCATTATAACAATATAAACAATAATAGGGTACCAAAATAATACATATATATATATATATATATATATACACAATAATCACTCATAATTATTGTTTAATACTTCATATTGTCCAATACTACTAACAAATAGTATTTAAGTAGTAATTTAATAAGTAGACTATAATTAAAGAATGAAATTGAATTAAATTAATCTTTTAATGTTGACATAGTTTGTTGTATATTATTATTCAACCATTGAATAACACGATTATGTGATGTATGCCAAAAATCAGTCAATTCTAAATTGAACATTTCTTCTAAATAATCAATCGTTTTGATAAAATCATTATCATTCTCTTTCTCTTTAATATCATCATTCAGATTTTTATCCAGTGTATAATTTCGTTTGAATTCAAATGATTGACATTTATTACATTCTTCAATAGAATTAGTCATTTCATTCAGAGATGATTGTTGATCTTCATGAATATGGTGATGATGATGATGGTGGTGGTGATGATGATGCTGATGATGGTGATAATGAATATGATGATAATGGTGAGAAGGATATTTGTCCCGGAAATGAGGAGGATTATCAATATCGCTTTCAATGGGCTCGATTTTCTCGGTAACTTCAGTGTTTAATGAATCCCTACGTGGTTGTTGTTGTTGTTGTTGTTGTTGTCCAATATCATAAATATTATTGTCAGTGTCATTTGTTTTCTTCAAAGATTCTTCATTTGTTAAATTAATTTCCTTATCTGTACTATGATTTTGACATTGATCAAACTGTTGACAATGATGATGATGATGATGGTGATGATGATGATGATGTTGTTGATAATGATGCCTATGATGTGCATAATCTGGTTCTTGATGATGAATAGAAAAATCTTCATCTGATAATTTAATAGTAAATTTATTTGCTTTCCTATCAGTAGCTGGTGATTGAGATGAACATGTTTTTAACCACATACTCCAATTAGAATCATCATTTTCTGAATTATCATTTGATATTATAGGAATACTATATGATGATAATTCACTTAATCCAGATAATGGTAGAATATCTGTATCTAATGAATCATCAAGCCACATTAATGATGATTGATTTAATATTGTTGACTCTTTTCGACTATTATCATTATTATTATTACTATTACCATTATTATTACTAGTTGAATAGTCGGGATTCATTTCATCTTGTAAATTATCAATCATAGAATCATACATATTTGATTGATTATTGATTTTTTCTTCATGGGAATAAATGTTAGAGAAATGACTTTTCAAATCATCAACATCATCATTATCATCTCCATAATCCATAAATGAATGTTGTGTAATATGATATTCCATTATTTTCAATGATTTTGTTTCATACTATAATGTTCAATTCATTTATTGTTCTGTAACATTCCTTTATGGATCTTCTTTATTTTGTATATACATAGATCTGATGAAATATATATGTGTTTGTTTGTTTTATAATGTATCAGATGAAGTTTCTTACATCACCAATATCATCGCCGCCAACATCATCATCATCATCATGATCATTATGATCATCCACTCGTATGGATTTTTGCATTCCAATCATGATCAAATGAAATATTTCAAGTTCAAATAGATTTCATTTTAACCAATCAGAAATTGAATTATAATTCAACCAATCAAAAACGAGATAATTTAATCATTTGATTAATTTATTAACCAATAGAAATTTAGACAAATCAATTATTATATTCTATGCATAAATCTATTATTTCAGTATTTAGATTATAAATATAGGTGGTTAGAAATGGATAGAAACAGGATTGTAGGTTTTGTTCGATTTGAAAAGTAAACAATATCAAGTGAATTTACACTTCAATTCATTGCACAAACAAGTGATTATTAGGACATAGTAGTTAAGTGATTAATACGATGGCATTTGAATTGAATGATAATGGGTTCGAGTCCCATCCTAGTGAACATCAACTCTGAGATGTATGTACATCCAGTTGAAGAGTCACAAAATGGGGTGAAATGCGCATCCTAGATTCCACTGCTAGTTACTATCCATCTTTGCATATAATGCTTGTGAATGAAGGCAATGCGCACAGTATCTATGTCATAGTATGGGACTCCTCAGTAGTGCACATCCACGATCCCTCACATAGAGTTCGAACTCAGGCCTTTCCGTCTCTCGCGCGACGGTCTATAGTAGTGGTAGTGATAGTGGTGGATTCTATGCTTACTCAAGGTCACTGCACACTTGTCTTTGGTAGGGTTAGTCTGTGTACCTATAAATATACATGAACTGTGAAATGAATTCATTCGCAACACAACAATATAGCCTAATACGCAATTCCGAGAATTTTACAATGTCTAATTAGATTGATTGTTTGATGAACATCGAGACAAATAATAACTGAAAATTTATGTTGTTTAGGTACTACTGAGATAACAAACACCTGTAGACATTTATTTTTGTGTTGATTGTTTGAATTTTCCCATTATTATTTAGGACTGCAATTGATCAGTCTCTTATTGACATATGTGTATTTTGTGCCGATTGCCTCGATATTGCCTTAACTCATATGTATCCCAAGTAAAGATGAATAGTGACTAGCAGTGGAATCCAGGACGCGCATTTCGTCCCATTTGGGACTCGTCAACTCGACGTACTTGTATCCTAGAGTTAATGCTCCCTCTGGGACTCGATCCCTGGGATTTAAGTACATCCGGATGACGAGTTTTAAATAGGATGAAACACACGTCCTGAATTCTACTGCTAGCCACCATCTATCTCTGCCTATAGTGCTTGTAGATATTTCTGAAAGAAATAATAATTCAACAAAACAATGAGAAACATTTCATGTATATGTTTTCGCAGAATAGGAAAGTGAATTATAAAAGATCAATCCAGATTACATACGTTACTGTTTGTAAGAATTTGAATTATTAAATTAGTGGTATTTAGAATTCAATTTTTTTAACAATCTTCATCGGCCTATATTCATCCGGTAATGATTAACTTGATAGAGTTCTTTTTTGTTACAAATTTCATTGAATAGATAGATAGATTATAGCTAATACGATAAGGTATTATGTTCAACTTCGAATGAGAATATCATTACTATAATGATGGTATATTTAACTGATAAGTCATGAATAAGACGAAATTTACATTCATGATTCCCCTACTAACTACAATTTATTTATGGAAATGAATAGTTAATTACTGTTGTAGTGAAGGAGAACACAGGTGAGAACAACCGAATTGTATTTAGCACAAAATTACAGAGTTACTTGCCAAAATAGAAAAACCATACTATAATACTTAATTTGCAAAATGTTCAATAATTGTCTCGAACTTGGTTGTTCTTGCATTTCCATACTAATTGTTTTCTATTCCCGTTCTTCCTTTCTTGATCTTCCCTCATCTTCGGCTGCCAGACATTACAGTCCCGACTTGCGTTATATACTACTTATATAAATATAAGTAGCTAGCACCGCACTGTTAGTTGTTATAAAATATTATCACAGTTTTAAGTAGCTGTATATTTTGAAGTACTTATTCCTATTAGTTGTTAATCAAATGAAATAATATAGATTGTTCATGTGAACAACTTGACAATATAACATCTTTCTCTTATACTTATATGAATAACCTCAACTACAGTGATAATTCCATTGATACCTACCACATTTGTCACATCAAATGAACTGACCAAATTGAATGAATGAATGAATAAATAAATAAATCAAGGTATACTGATTGCACTTATAATCAATTGAGAATAATAATGCCGACTATTCATATCTTATTCTTTCTCTTTAGATGATAATTACCATGACTTACACCTGTTAATCGTCGTGGAGGAGCATAGACCGACCACCAGCACTTTCCATCCAAGCCTGTCCCAAGAAATCCTTTCCAGCTCTTTCCAGTTGTTATTCATCATTTTCATTGTCTGCTTCTATTTCCCAACGTAATGTGTTCTTTGGCCTTCCGCTTTTCCGCTTCCCTTCAACATTCCAAGTTAGGGCTTGTCTCGTGATGCAGTTTGATGATTTCCGTAATGTATGTATTGAAGATTGTGACTTTGATATTGGTTGACTCCGCTTGAAGCTCTTCTATAGTTGCTGCCGATCAAAAGCTCGGGTAAAAGAGGAGGGTTGGGCATAGGGTTAGCGACCCCATACCGTAGAAAACTAACTCCCTAAAAAACGCTAACCAGAAAATCATCTTGACAATTAACAAAAATTTCTGAATTTAGATCTCATGCTGATTGACACTCATCATCTTGAAGTCTCTAGAATCTTGATAGGATTGATACCATCCAATATAATAGATAGAAAGGTTACTGTTAAGTTATTTAACTTCTGAACAATCTCTCATAAAAGTGAGATAATTAAAATAATTAGTTACTAGGCTTAACGATCATACTGAAACTTGATCTAAAGCTTTTGCTTGCAACTCAGGATTAGAAGAGAACAATATTGCTATCAGAATGGGTTTTGTGGAGAATGTAGTATTTTCAATAGTTGAGATCATGAATCAATTAAAGCTAGATCACTATGGAAAACCTGGAATCACTGGACAGCCGTTTCGTTTTATTGTGGGACTCTTCCGTAGCAGTGAGCATCCACGATCCCGCCTCGCGAGATTCGAACCCAGGACCTATCAGTCTTACGCGTGAGCGCCTAACCACTATTAACTACTATTCATTGGTTAGTGAGCATAGAGATTGTTTTTTTGTTCTGCTGGCCGATTGTTAAGTATAAACCCTTCGTCCACCGGAAATTTCAATTTAGAATCTCAACCCCTTTATTAGGAGTACAAATTAATCTATTTGGTTTTAAGGACTTGTGATACTACAAGAATTACCTAAATCAAAGTAGACTGAAAGACATACCCTTGAATTAAGTAGCAGTGCATAAATATCTACTCTGAATTACACACTTATTAGTGATGAGAATTGAACTTAATACACTATTATGATTTGACTGATAACAACTAGATTTTAAACTGTCAAAACTTTACGCACACTTTCTAAATACAAATGTTCTATTTTGATGAAGTTTTGTTCTCTGGGCTGGATGGTTTGGTCGTGGAACTTTCATCTTTCCTCTGAACATCATCAACACAAACTTTAAATGAAGTGTTCGAATTTCTCCACACGTGGTTCACAGCTTGTACTGTACAGCTCGATGTTCGAATCCTTTACGTGTACCTGAACTTTGTGCTGATGATGTCATTGAGAAGAACGATGAAAGCTCCACGACCAAACCATTCAGCTCAGAGAACAAAACTCCATCAAAATCATCCACCCGAGGCACAAATCTTCTCCATCATCACAAATATTCTATTTTTATGTAGGCAGTACACAATAAATGGAAACACATACTCATACTCATACTCATAGTTTATAAGTATCAACACCGAGGTTGGAATTGATCGTTTTAAATAAATTGAGCATCGGTTGAAGAGTTAATAATAAGTATTCGTTTGTTATATCCCAATGAGAAGAAAAATTGTACTTCTGATATGACAAGTAATCTCATTAACGAGGCAACTTTGTATAGAAGATACATGGATGGTAGCCTAGTTATATTTAGTAATGATTTTGAGGTTTCTCAGTTATTAGATAAACTCAATGGGGTTCAAAATGATATCTTAATGACCTATAAAGCAGAAAATAATGGCCAATTGCTCTTTTTAGACATACTTTAGAGTCAAAGGGGGAATGATACTATGAGATGGTCAGTTTATAAGTAACCAACTTGGACAGGGCAATATTTAAACGTTCATAGTTTCTGTCCATCACAATACAAGTGAAGCTTGATTAATTGTCTCTTTAATAGGATTCAAAGAATTTGCACTACTGATGTGGTTGAAGAAGATGAAAATTTGCTGACTCACACATTAATCTTAAATGTTTATTCAATAAAATTTATAAATAGGTGCAAAAGTCAGTCAACACCAAGATCTCTCGTTTATTCAGTTCCAAAGAATAAAGTTTATATCTATCTATTATATAGAGATGAATCCAATAGAATAGTTTTAAGACACAGATTGAAAGCAGCCATCGAGTAAACCTCTTACGCTGCTCAATTGGTTGTGATTGAAAAGTTTACGTCCATGATTCCAAATAAATTTAGACAATGCAAAAATGATTACGTCACATCACATTGTATTTACCAATTTACATGTTTGTGTGGACACACACTTATAGGGAGGAGTAATCGAACAATTCAATCAAGGGCCATTGAATATGTGCCAAGATGGCTTCAAAATCAATGTGTGTCAAATGATCCGATCAACGTGGGAGGTAGAAAATCGTGTTTATCGATAGTGAAGCATATAATTGAAACGGGGCACAAAATTGGCATCAATACAGCTTTTAAAACATTGTATGGAAACTGTCAAGGGCGAATTCTTAGGTTTACTGAAGCCTTGGCTATTCGTAAATTCAACACTGTCCCCTACGTATACAAAAACAATTTATTTTAACCTTGAATTCACCCTGGGTAATCCTTAAGTCATTTTATGGCCTAGAATGATGCAACGATTTATTTCTATATGATATAAAAAATAGGTTTCTCTCCCCTTTATTCTTAATACTTGAACCTTCATATAAACTATTCTGACAAGTATATATGTGACCAAATTATTCGAAATGTATGGCGCAAATACATCATAGTTTTCAGATCAACTCCATCTTCACACTCATATGCGATAAATGTATGCATGTAAGCATG